TAATCTGATGTAAAAGTTTACCTCACAAGGGATAAAAGGGGAGGAATGAGAGCAGAGAGAGGGAACTTCAGTACCAAGGATAAAGAGAGCACATCTTTTGGATCCAGGACCCTATGCTGGGGAACTCCTAGAACCAAAAGACACACAAAAAGAAAACCTTTCCTAGAGCCAGCATGCTGAGTTTGTACACATAGCCCACTAAACTGTAAGGGAAAATATTTGTTTGTGAAAGCCATCCACTTTGGGATCTCTGTTATAGCAGCAATAGAGAACTAAGACAGTGGTCAACCTATAACTCTCTTCCCCCGCTGCCCTCCCCCTGCTCACCTAGTATCTGGGTAAAAAAAATCTAGTCTCCCCCCAGGACTATGAAGATCTGGTTGATTCATGTAATTTCTCTGAGAGCAACACCTTCAGAACATTGTTGTTACTATGTATGGTTCAGTTGGAATCAATTCAACTGAACTTCCTCCAGTGGGTTTCAGAGGCTGTAAATCACGGGGTAGAAGATGGTCCATCTTTATTTTTCAGAGCAGCTGGTGGCTTTGAATCACTTGCCTTTGGGTTGGCAACGTAATTCTTTACCCCCTAGCCACCAGAGCTTCTTTTACCAGGGATGAGGTCATCATATTACCTGGGCAGTGAATGGTTCAGCTCCAAAGTTCCATCTTTGTATCTGTTTTCTTGAACCAGCCTGACATTAGGCATTAGGGGTTAGCTTCTCTAGCAAACAGTTCCTGAGATGCAGAAAGGTTATTGGGAAGCACTCTGGGAATCCCTACCTCTCCAGGGAAGGAGGAAGCAGGGCTGGGCAGGGGGGACGGCAGTACAGGCCCAACAGGCTTCCATGAACCCTGACATGGGCTCACAAAGCTGGGATGCCTCTGCAGAGTTATAGGAGTTGGGGTCAAGAGGCCAGGGTCTTTACCTTGTATTGACTGGTAGTCATTGGCTGCTAGCCGCCCTGGAAAGATATGCTCTCGGGAAAGGAGCTCTTTTAAGCCAGCAGCAGTGGGGACGCTTAGTCCTTCAGGACTGAAAGGTAATTTGAACAGCACAGCATCCATGACAGTTTGTCTCCTGCAATTGTGACAATATGCACACCAAAACATTTGCCAATTCAGCAATTTCTCCATGTATAATTCAGCGACTTGGATTTTTTTTTCTTCATGCTGTGCAGCCATTCCTGATAGCTTTTTCCAAATTATTCCATCATCATTTACATACACTCATTGCTCTCTAAGTAAAAATTCCCCCTCCTTTTCTCCAGCCCTGCTAGTAACTACTGAAAAGGTTGATTTCTCTATATTTGACTGTTTCATAGAAATGAGATCATATAGTATCTATCTTTTCTTGACTTACTTCACTAAGCATAGCTGGGTTTTTTGTTGTGTTTTTTGTTTTGTTTTGTTTTTAGCTAGCATATTTTATTGTGATTGCAGTGAAAGTTTACTTGGAAAATTGGGTTTCCATTTAACAATTTCTACACCATTTGCACACTGGTATTTGGTTCCATTTTTCACAGTGTGTCAACTTTCTCATTATTTCTGTTCTGATTTTCCTATTTCCATCAGGATAATGTCTTCAAGATTCATTCATGATGTGACAAGCAACAGGACGTCATTTCTCTTTATGGCTAAGCATTCCATTGCTTGTATGTGTGTGTGTGTGTGTATGTGTATGTATTCATGATTGTTTATCTATTCATCTGTTGATGGCATTTCCTTTGCGTCCATGTTTGGGGCTATTGTGAAAAGTTCTGCAATTAAAGATGCATGTTATGCTAGAACTAATTTGGCATCTGGTAGACCCCCTGCTCAGCCTGGAAGAGGAAACAGGCTATTATCACAAGATCCTAGTAGGTATTTCCCTAACAACTGCTTACTGAAGGAGTGGATGCCTTTGTTTTCATCAGCATTTGGATACCACCCAGATTTGTTTCATTTAATATTTTTCCTCGATCTTCTAGAATTTCTTTTATATGTATATGCTCGGACATGATAGAATGCTTGTCTGTTTTTTCTACTGTTATATCCTCAGCATCAACACAGACCACAGAGCAGCCTTTCAGTAATTATTTGTTGTATGAATGATAGTGTGTGGGAGGAGGGTTATTCTGGAAGAAAGAAGGAAGACTCAAGCCCTCTCCCACTGTGACTTTTTTCCAAGCCACCCTTGGCCTTTTCTTGTGCAGTGCATTGCTGTTGCCATGCAACTGGAGACACAGCTGTAACATTATTTAAAATGCTATCATTAGGAGGAGCACAGTAAAGGGTTCTAGGATATAAGGATATATAGGATATGATCTTCTGTGTTCTCCTCTGCAGAGCATCTCATGTCTTTGAGACACTCTTTTCCTTTACTTCCCCATGCCTCTCTCCCTATTTCAGTTTTTCCACAAAAATGAAAGAAGAGTTCAACAGTCATTCTTTTTTTTTAAATTTTTTTTTATTTTTATTTTTATTATTTTTGTGTGCATGTACCGTCAAATCAGATCTTACTGTTACAGAAGGAGATTGCCCCTCCTTCCCTGGCAGAGCATCTGGTGGATTTGAACCATGTGCCTCTGGGATTGTAGTTGCAGCTCCTTGCCACTAGGCCACCAGAGCTCCCCATCAACAATCATTCTGAAGAAAAGAAGAGAAGATGAGGAGGGGACAGGGAAACTAGAGTACTAGAAATGGAATAATCAGAACATGAAGATAATGTTGGCAGATGATGGGAAAGGCAAGTAAGGTCATCAAACAATGGGTATGTTGTTGTTAGGTGCCGTCAAATTGACTACACTATTGACGATGGATCTGAACCCTGCCCTGTCCTGTACCATCCTCATCAGCTCTACCACACTTGTGCCCATTTTTACAATCAATGTGTTGGTCCATCTCGTTGAGGGTTTTCACCTTCTTCTCTGACCACCTATTTTTCTGAACATGATGTCAATTGAGAGCCTAATGTGCTGTGTAAACGTAATAAAGTCCAGGAGGGGTGCTATTGCATAAAAACAAAATTTTATCTCAGATTAGATAAGAATAAATAAAAATAAAATACATTCAAGCCAGTCTACACATGCAGGAATGGTTTACAAGCTGGTGTTCTTGGTCTTGCATCCCGGGTGAAGTTGGAAGTTTATTCTGTAGATGGACATGTATGCTGATACTTGACTCTGATTTGTCCTCTGCAATGTTGTGCTATACTAAACATTTATTGAGTAAAAGTAGCCAAAGAAAAGTCAAAGAAATATGCACTGTTCATTTGATAGAAGCCTCCCATTCTAAATATAAAACATGCTAATAGAGACATTATCACCAATGTCAGATGTATCTTGCCAAAGAGTACCAGAGGAATGTCTATTTGTGTTTCATTGACTATGCAAAGGCATTTGATTTATAGATCACAACAAATTGTGGGTAACGTTGAGGAAAATGGGAATCCCAAAACACTTGATTGTGCTCACACAAACTTATACTCAAACCAGGAAGAAGTTTTCAAAACAGAGCAAGGAAACAAACACTGCATGATTCAAAATCAGGAAAGGAGTGCACCAAGGATGTATCCTGTCTCCATACCTTTTCAATCTATGTGCGGAAGAGACCATTCAGGAGGCTGGGCTTAGGAGGAGGAATGTGGCATTAGGATTGGAGGAAGACTCATCAGCAACCCACTTTACAGAGATAACACAACCTTGCTTGCTGAAACTGAGGAGGACCTGAAGAGCTTGCTGCAGAAAGTCAAGGACTGTAATCTTTCATATGGATTGAAGCTCATCATCAAGAAGATAAAATTTCTCACCACTGAGGCAATTGGCAGCACCACGATGGATGGAGAAGAGATTGAGATCATTAACAATTTCAGCTTGCTCGGATCCACAATCAACACTCTTGGCCCTAGCATTCTGGAAATCAAAAGACGACTGTACTGGAAAAATCTGTTGTCAGAGATTTCTCCAGAGTACTGAGTAGCAATGATGTCAGTCTGGAGACTAAGGTGTGCCTGATCCCAGCCATAGTCTTCACAAATGCTTGCTATGTGTCAGAGAGCTGGACAATGACTAAGGATGACGAAGGAGAATTGATGCCTTTGAATTGTGATGTTGGAGAAGAGTATTGAACATACCATGGACCACCAAGAGAACAACAAACAGGTCTTCTTGGAGAGAGTGCAACGAGGCTGATCCTTGGAGGCAAGGATTTTGAAGCTCTGTCTCACATATTTTGGGCACACGGCCAGAAGGGACCAGTCCTTGGAGAAGGACATCATGCTCAGAAGGTCAAAAAGACGATGCAAGAGAGGAAGATCCAAGATGAGACCCTGGATGAGATTCAGACGGTAACTGAGGTAATAGGGGCAGGTGTGTCGGAGACAGTGAGACTGGCTCAGGTTGATGCCGGCTTCAAAGCTGTTGTACGTAGAGTCGCAGGTGACTCAAAGGCATATAACAACAGTGTAATAATTGTGATGAGTTCATGAAGCTATGAGCAGACACTCAGTTGGGAAGTAGCATTTGTAAAATTATATGTAAGTGCAGAAGATGGTGGATCCAGGCCATGATGGATTCAGGTATAAAAGGAACTTTTGGACAAAGATCAATAAACAATTTCTCAAGCAAGTATCTTGTTATTAAAAGCAACTCTTAGGCAATGAATCTGGGCATATGTAAAGAAACATTGTCATAAAAAGGGTTTTTTTGTAAAGAAAAGAGTGCGTGAAGAACCCAATGTGCCACGAAGAATGAAATTTTTTAAAGAGAAAAACGAACTAGGGGGTAGGTAGGGAGGAAAATGCAACAATGAATAAAGTTTTCTGTAAACTTTCGTTAAAATCACAATAGAAAAATTATAAAAAATCAAAAGAAGCCCCAATAACAACAACAAAATAGAATACTTTTTACAAAGCAAACAACAATAACAACAAAAAAGAACACCGTGTGAGTCAACAGCCCCTGCAGAAGTTTGTTGCAGAATTTGTTGCATCTCACCGCTGCCGGCGCGCCTTATCGGGCCATGTTCTCGGGTTTACCGAGGCCTGCTGGCCGCGCGCGCCCCCTGGAGGCCGCACGGAGGAGCGGTTTGTGGCTTCCTCGCGCCTCTGACAGCCAGGCTGTGCGCACACGCCTCCAGGGCTTGAAACTGTTGGGAGCTGGGACGACTACAACCTCGGCTCCGCTCCTGCGAAGCCCTCCTGAGGCACCCGACCTGCTATGTCTGCCCAAAGCAAGGATGGTAACACGAGGAGGGAAGGAGGGGATGCCCAGGAACCCTGCTTTTCTCACTTTTTCTCTGCAGAGTGTGCTGACCACAGTTTACTTGTTGAGGTGTGACCCCTAGTAATTGCTCCCCTCCTCTTCAGTGGGCACTGAAGTTTGAGTTTGTGACAAAAGTCATCTACCCACTCTTGTCTGCCTTGGAGAGGATGAAACCAAGTTTCTCCTTGGAGGCTAGGATTTTTAAACTCCATCTCACATACTTTGGGCACGTGTCTAGAAGAGACCGATTTTGGAACAGGACATCATCCTTGGAAGGGCAGAGGGACAGTGCAAGAGAGGAAGATCCAAGATGAGACCCTTGATGAGATTGAGACAGTAACTGGGATAACAGGGGCAGATGTGTCGGAATCAGTGAGACTGGCTCAGGACAGGGCAAGCTTCAGAGCTGTTATATATATATATATTATATATATATATGTATATATACATATATATGTATATATATACATATATATATACTATATATATATGTATATATATATACACACACACACATATATGTACACATATATATGTTTATTTATTTTTTATTCACTTTAATGAAAATTTTCAGAGATTTTAGGTTGTACATAGAGTCGCTATAAGTCCCAGATGACTCAATGGCACACAACAACCCACTTTTAACCACAATCTTGAAATCATGATAGGGACTAGATTTGCCATCCTCTAAATTAATTCTTGCACCCTTTGCAGTCAACCTCTCCCATCCCTTCCCCAACACACCTCTATTTTCTCTTCGTTGTTGACTCCTGGTGACCCCACGGACAACAGATCTGACCTTGCCCTACCCCGCAGCATCCTCATTCTCCCTGACATACTGAAGCCCATTGTTACAGTCACTGTATCAATCCATCTCATTGAGGGTCCTCCTCTCTTTTTATAACCCTTCACCTTTCCCTACATGTCTTTTCCCAAGAACTGATTCATCCTGACATCATGCCCAGTGTTTCATGGTGAATGCCTTAAACATGAAATTACATCCCATGAAACCCTTTAGGTCTGGCTTTTTCCTCTTAGCCCTGCTGTCTTCTGAGACTGTATTTCATTGCAGACTCAGCTTGGAAACACTTTTAATTTGTAAGATGAGGTTGGAACCTAGACTTTGCCTCAAGTAACACTCTCCTGTTTCCACAGGAGACAGAGGCCACCCTACCCCAAGTTGCTCCTATAATCTTGAAAAATCTCTAGTTTCTTGTTTGGACTATGCTATTTTGTTTTATTTTTACAGAGAATAAGCAAACAGATTTTAGGTCAGGGTTGAGATGGTTCATTCTTCTGTTGGTGCCTTTTGGGCACCAGGAGTTGAGTGTCAGGAGAGACACTGTTAGTGTAGCAATGGCGCCAGCAACTCTCAGTGCATCTATGGCTCCAGGGGAAGTGAGAGGGTGGTGGGCGACAGACAGACAAGGATAGCAGCTTTGAGTAAAGGACCATGAGGCTTTCCAGCTTCAGAGCCAGGGCTAGACTCTTCAGCAGTTGGGGACACCCAGAGGCACCCCAACAAAGAGATTGTGCGGAAAATGTTGTAAAGGTATGAGGACAACAAGCCTCCTCTTGTTCTAAATCACTCTTTGGTCCCACTTCCTGTCAGATTTGGTCTTGAAGAAGACATCATTTTCAATTACCCCACCTTACCCATTCTTCTCGAGACTTGTGGATTTTTCTTCCAAAATGCTTCTCGAATCCATCTACTGACTACTTCCACAGTTACCATGTTGGCCTGCTGTAACTGCTAACCCTCTCATGCCTATGTCCCTTCCATACCTCACACAATGGCCAGATTTCCACACTCCACACAGACAGCCAGATGTTTGTATGTTTAAAATACAAATGTGAGCATGTCCTGACTAAATACTTTGTAAGCTTTTACATTCCAGCTTAATTCCCTTCCCCATCAGCAGTCAGCATCGCTGTCTGTTTGCCCTCTGCCCCTCCTGCAGCCCTACTGGTGGTCTTTGTGACCCTCTGACAGAGACCTATTCTTTCCGGTCATGCAATCTTGGTACACTTAACCTCTCCCCAGCCCTCCTCCCCCCTTTGACTAAATACTTCCTGTTAGTTCTTTTAACGTCACTTCAAATGTCATCTCAGGGACACCTCCTCTGCCTTCTCCAAAACAGTGAAACTCTCACAACACATGTCATATATATCCATGAGACTGACTGGTTTATATCTATCTCCCCCACTAGACTGTAGGATACATGAGGGCAAGAAATAGATTTGTTCTATTCACCATGGTAAATGTTGCCTGTATCAAGAAAGAATTTTTCTTAAAAAATTTTATTATTTTTTGTGCATGTACCATCAAATCAGATCTGACTGGTACAGGAGGAGATTGTCCTTCCTTTTCCAGCAGATTCTAGTAGATTCGAACCGTGCACCTCTGGGATTGCAGTGCAGCTTCTTGCCACTAGGCCACCAGAGCTCCTTAAGAAATAATTTTTGCTGTACCAGTCAGATCCAATTTGGCAGTACACACAAAAAATAAGAAAATTTTTAAAAAACCCCAAAAAATAATTTTTGAGGGAGCGGATAATAACTACCACTGATCAAGCATCTGTATGTGCTGGGCACTATGCAAAGGTTATTCAACTGTCTCATTTGAATCTTGTCACAACTCTCTGAGGCGGCTAGTCATGCTGTGTCCATTTTGTGGAAGAGAAGCCAGAGGGACAGAGAGGTTCAGTATCTGCCCAAGGATCAGAGCTCCAGTGTGTTCTCCTGCCATGCTGCCTTCCAGGCAAAGCACTGAGACAAGTTGTCCTCTTTCTAGTAAAAGGAAAAATCAGCCCAATGGTCAAGGCCTCTGTCCACAACCTGAGCAAGACGCAGACGACCAAACTCACTGTGGGCAATCATGGGTTAGGCCTGATCATCATCCAGCATGGCCCCTACCTCCAGATCATCCACCTGGTCAAGAAGGGAGCTGCAGCCAGCGATGGCAAACTCCAGCCAGGTGAGGGCGCTTTCTCCTGCCTCCCTCCCACCTACTGTTGGGAGATGGGACCATGAGGCTTAGTGCAATCATATGGTGATGGTGACAGTTGTTGAGGGCTCCCCAGGGTCCAGTCGGTTGCTATCATGTGTGTTTAATTCTCACAATAATCCTCTTCATAGAAACCATTGTTGGATCCCTTTTATAGGTGAGGAAACGGAGGCTCGGTGAGGTCAAGTTCCTCCTCCATCTAGTAAATGAGATATGAACACAGCACTGCTATTTCAGAGCTACAGCTCTCTGTGGATAAGGCTTTCTTCTTTTGTAGAAGGAATTGATCATTGTTAACGTTTAGGTAGGGAGCTCTGGTGGCCTACTGGCAAGAAGTAGCGCTGCAATGCCAAAGGCAGGTGGTTCAAGGCCACCGGCTGCTCCATAGGAGAAAGAAGGACAATCTCCTCCTATGTGATTAACTGCCTTTGAAAACTCCGGAGGGTCAGCTATGAGTCTGTCCCACCTCAAAGGTACACAACAACATTTTAGGTGCATGATCTCATTGTATTGTTTGAGCTACCTGTGAGGTAGATTATGCATTAAGCAACTGTACAAATACACTGAAATAAGTTACTGTTGGCCATTTTTAATTAGACAGTCATATGGTCTACTATGCTGAGAATGACAAATTGAAAAGGAATGGTGTCACATTTGTCATCAGAAAGAACATTTCAAGATCGATCCTGAATAAAATACTGTCAGTGATGGGACAATATTCACATACCTGCAATGAAGGCCAGTTGGTATGATAATCATTCAAATTCATGCATCAACTACTTGCTGTTATGTGTCATCAAGTTGAGTGAGGCTTATAGCAATCCTGTGAACGACAGATCTGAACCCTGTCCTATCTTGCGCCATCCTCACAATTTCTGACATACTTGAGCCCATTGCTGCAGTCACTGTGTTGATGTGGCTCATTGAGAGTCTTCCCCTCCTTTCCTAACAGGACAATGTCCATTTCCAAGGAATACTGCCTTCTAGCAAAATGCTCAAAGTATGTGAGACAAAGCTTTGCCATGCTTGCCTCTAAAGTGCGCTCTGGCTGCACCATCTCCAAGACTTAACTGTTTGTTATTTTGGCAGTTCGTGGATGTTCAGGACAATTCTCCAACACTACAAATCAAAAGCATTGATTTTTAGGGAGTTTTGGTGGCCTAGTGGGAAGAAGTTGCACAGCAATCCCGAAAGCATGAAGTTCCAGGCCACCAGCTTCTGTGTGGGAGAAGGATGGGCAATCTCCTCCTGTGCAATGAACTGCCTCTTGAAAACGTGCTGGAGGGTCAGCTGTGGGTTGGTTCTGATTTGACGGTACATAACAAAAACAACATCCTTACTCACTGTCTGGTTCTCAGACGTTGAGGTCATGAAGAGGCCACGGCCAGAATCAGGCACACCTTAGTCTTCAAACTGACATAACTCTTCAGTAATCTGGAAAGATTCGTGACAGCAGTGTACAATACATCTTTTGATTTCTTGACTGCTGGTGTCACGGATGTTGATTTTGGATTAAGTAAGATGAAATAATTGACAACTTCAATCTTTTCTCCATCTATCATGATATTGCTTATTGGTCTATTGGTGAGGATTGTTATCTTCTTGATGTTGAGATGTAATTCATGTTGGAGGCTGTAATCCTTGATCTTCTGTAATAAGCCATTCAGAAAGCAAGGTTGCATAACACCAGTTTTTTATAAGCCCTCCTCCTATCCTAAAGCCACGTTTTCTTCATAGAATTCAGCTTCTTTTTAAAAAAATGTTATTATTTTTTTTTTAATTTATTCTTTTTTGTGTGTGTACCATCAATCTGGGTCTGACTGGTACAGGAGGAGATTACCCCTCCTCCAGCAGAGCATCTGGTGGAAGAATTCAGCTTCTTGAATGATTTACTCAGCACACAGATTGACAAGGTATGGAGAAAGGATACAGCCCTAATGTATACTTTTCCTAATTTTAAACCATGCAGTATTTCCTTGCTCTGTTTGAACAAGAGCTTCTTGGTCCAGGTAGAGATTTCATGTGAGCATGAGTAAATGTTCTAGGATTTTCTTTCTTCTCAATGTTAACCACCATTTGCTATGATCCACACAGTCAAATGCCTTTGCATGGCCAACAAAACACAAATAGCCATTCTTCTGTTATTCTCCTCTTTCTGCCAAGAGCCATCTGACATTAGGCATGTTGTTGGGAAGGGCCAGTCCTTGGAGAAGGCCATCATGCTTGGGAAGGTGGAGGATCAGTGTAAGAAAGGAAGACCTTCCATAAGATGGGTTGACATGATTGTTGTTAACAACGGGCTCAAGTGTGTCAGAGACGGTGAGGACGGCACAGAGTAGGGCAAGTTTCAGACCCCTTGTTCATAGGGTTGCTATGAGTCAAAGTTGACTCAACAGCACATAACAACAACAATGTCAACATATTGGATGGCGCAGGAATCATCAATAGAAGGTAGAAAGAATACATAGAGTTACTGGGCCAACAAAGAATTGATCAGCATTCAGGCATTTCAGGACATAGCATATTAAGATTAAGAGTCAGTTCTGACTCCCTGGTACATAGCAAAACATCGCCTTACCTTTGTTGTTGCTGTTATGTGCCGTCGAGTCGCTTGCGACTCATAGCGACCCTATGTCCAACAGCCCTAAACTCTGCTCTGTCCTGTGCCAATCTCACTGTCTCCGACACCCCCAACCCGATTACCCCAGTCACTGAATCAATCCACCTCATAGAGGTCCTTCCCCTCCTGCGCTGTCCCTCCACCCTCCCAAGCATGATGTCCTTCTCCAAGGACCGGTCCCTCCTTGCAACATGTCCAAAGTATGTTAGATGGAGCCTCAGAATCCTTGCCTCCAAGGAGAAGCCTGGTTTAACTTTCTCCAGGATGAATCTGTTTGTTCTCTCAGCAGTCCATGGTACCCTCAATACTCTCCTCCAACACCAAAGCTCAAAGGCATCAATTCTCCTTCTATCCTCCTTAGTCATTGTCCAACTCTCTGATGCATAACAAGTGATTGCAAAGACCATGGCCTGTATCAGATGCACCTTAGTCGCCAGAGAGACACCATTGCTCTTCAGTACTTTAGAGAGGTCCCTAACAGCAGACTTTCCCATCACAATATGTCTTTTAATTTCCTGGCTGCTGGTGCAGTTAAAGCTTCTCTTCCAAAGCCATGTTCATTCAACATTCATATAGGTGAACACTGTGTACAGGCACCATGCTGGGCCCTGTGGGAGAACTGTTGTTATATGTCATCAAATCAGAACTCACTCACAGCTGACCTTTCAGTGTATAAATCTCACTGTGAGACTATAAATCTCACAAGAGATTGTCCATCTTTTGTCTGCAGAGCAGCTGATGGAATCGAACTGCCTGTCTTTGGTTTGGCAGCGCAGCTCCTTGCCTGCTAGGCCACAAGGGGTATTATAGCGAGACAGACAAATGTGGCTCCTAACTACGTGGATAGTATGGAACTTCTTGCCTAGAGATGGAGAAAAGACATAAAGTCTATTTTTCATTAATGCCTTGGCTGCTGCAAAATTGATTTAATATAGGTAATCAAGACAAAGCTTATATAATGTGATCCTCACAGCCCTTTACAAGAGGGGGAAAAATACGTAATGAGCTTGCTGTTCATAAATACTAAATTGGTGTTTCTTTATGAAGGGCAATGTTAATATCTGCCGCTCGAGTAATCACATTCATACACTGATACATTTGGTCTACAGCCAGAACAGGCAGGGAATTAAGCTGTTTATTTTCTGCCCTCTTGATAAAAGTCACCCCTTTACAACACAATTAAGCAGAATGCCCAGCCAGTGCTTTGGGCTGTAAACACTCTCTTTAACATTAGCCTAGTCGTCCAGGGAGCTTTTGTCCAAAGGATGAGTCTGCTTTCTACCCTGTAATGTGCAGGCTGCTGAGAAGAGCAGCCGCTGCCTTAGATCCTATAGTTTTATTAGATTTTTAAATTTTATTCCTGAACTACTTTTAAAGACCAAAGTGGCCGCTTTTCTGCACCCTCTTAGGATTGAATCCTGGGCACTTTCTGTAAGATCCAGTTTTTTTGCACATTTGTCCCGGCAATCCTTGGAGATTTCCATTGAGGTCACTATCATTTCAGATTTAAGTACAGTGGGGCTTCATATCAAAGAGAAGGGAGAACTCCATCTCATCTCCTCTGTGGTTTGACTTCCTGTGTCTTGGAACAAGATTGCTTGAGGGGATCCTAGTTCCCACACACAGAGAACACATCCTTCCGGACTGATGTCAGCTATGAAGTTCCATTACAATAGGGATGATGCTAGTTCTAGATGGAAGGCTGGTCGAGCCTGTCCTTTCCAAACAATTCCTTTGTATTCCTTCTCTTGTGTTGAGTACCCTGTAGCAAACGGTGTTCACTGTGAGCATCTGTTGTGGTGCTGAATGCAGAAGACAAGGTCAGACAGAACTGCCAGAAAGGCTGGAGCATCAGGCTTGGAAAACAGGCTGAGAACAAGTTTCAGGTTCAGTGACAGGTTCACAGGCTCCATGGCCGGACAGACTTTACATGCTCGTGTTCTAGCTGTTGGGGGCAGAGATGGAGGAGCTCAAGTGAATGAGTGGTCTGTTTAGCTTCCAGTTTGGGAGTGGGAGGGCATGATGCCGAGAAGCCACCCTCTTCCCATCTGCTGGAGGCTCAGAAGCTCCACGGCTGACCGTCATTAAACATCATGTCACCTTCTCTGTCTGGCATTGCCCTAAAATCCCTCTGAAACAGCAATTTCTCTAAATGGACATCTTTAACTTTAATTAAAGCATGCTTATTGACCAATATTTCATGCAGAACTGCTTGTTCAACTATTGTGGCACACAAGGGCAGAAAATGGTAATTAAAGGCTTGATGTTTAATATGGTCTATTTACTGTGGAGGGCACTGGAAACTGCCAGGCAGGTAAGAATAGGAAGTGGGTCATTTCTATTCATCATTTAGTGGAAGTGTTTCTTTACTAGCAGTAGCCGTTCATTATATTTGAAACAAATACAGCATTTTTTTAAAAATACAGAGGTTTTTAGAATCTTGAGGATGTTTCTAATTTTAAGTGGCCTCTGTCACATCAAGGACTTCAGAAGTGTCACAAAAATGTAGTATAATATCTACCATGACTATAATTACCATGGACAATGACTAAGTATGGTAGAAAAAGAATCGATGCTCTGAGCTGTGGTGCCGGAGAAAGGCACTGAACATACACGATGGACTCTCAAGATAGTAAACAGGTCTATCCTAGAGAGGGTGAAACCAGGCTGCTCCTTGGAGGCAAGGAATGTGAATCTCCATCTCATATACTTAGGTATGTTGCCAGGAGGAACCAGTCCTTGGAAAAGGACATCATTCTTGAAAGTGTAAAAGGTCAGCTCGAGAGAGGAAGATCCTGGATGAGATAGATGGACCGTGTCTGTGGCAATGGGGTCAGATGTATCGGAGATGGTGGGGTTGGCTCAGGATAGGGCAAGGTTCAGAGCCATTGTTCACAGGGTCGCTATGAGCTGTAGTAAACTCACTGGTACATAACAACTTATACCATTACATTGCTATCAAGACATATCTTGAATGTAGTTTTCATTATGCAAAGGACACCCTTGTCACTGAGATGAACTTTTATTAAATAAAGCTGCAGCCTGGTTTGAATTCAAATGAGTCAGTAGTACAAACCCTTACATAAAATTAAGCAAACTCACATAAAGCCAGAAGTCAGATATGATCCCTCTAAAACACGAACTCAAATCTTACTATTTTCTTTGTTTTTAGGTGATGTTTTGATTAGTGTTGGCTGTGCCAATGTGTTAGGATATACACTTCGAGAATTTTTAAAGGTTTTGCAACGCATCCCTATAGGATCAGTGCTACAAATCAAGGTTTACCAAGATTTTATCGCTATACCCCAAGAATGGCAAGACATACATGATAAAATCCCTGAGACCAAATTCCCAGTGACAAGGTAAGCGGTCACCTCTTAGTTGAGGAAATCTCTGTCACACTCCAGAACCCCAGGGTCTGAAGGATACCATCCAGGGTTGGTGTGAGCCTTATCAAATAAATGCTCCAAAACCGCCCCTCAAACTCAACACTATTGAGTCCAACTTGTGTCGACCTTCCTTCCATTGGGCTCGTGACCTCTCTAGAATAAATACTTTGTTGTTGTGGACTGTTGAGTTGGAAACGATTCCTACCTGACCCTTCAGCAGGTTTTCAGGGCAGTAAATATCACAGGGGGAGATTTTCCCCTTCCACATCTTTCTCCCTGGGAGCAGCTGGTGGATTCAAACCACGTGCCTTTGGGTTGACAGACGAAGTCTTTACCACTATGCCATCAGAGCTCCTTCTAGAATTCTTTGTTGTTCTGTACCATTGAGTCAGAACCAACCCACAGCTGACCCTTCAGCGAGTTTTCAGAGGTAATTAATTGCACAAGAGGAGAATGCTCATCTTTGTTCCAAGAAGCAGCTGGTGGATTTGAACTGTCTTCGGAACTTCAGCGCAGCTTCTAACCACTAGGCCACCATTTGTTGTGTACCACACAGTCGGAACCCACCCGTAGCTGACCCTCCGGCATGTTTTCAGAGGCAGTTAGTTAATTGCCCAGGACGAGATTGCCCATCCTTCTCCCGCAGATCAGCTGGTGGCCTCGAACCACGTGCCTTTGGGATTGCAGGGAAGCTTCTTGCCACTAGGACACTAGTTGTTGTCGAGCACAACTCAGAGTGACCCAGTGAACAAAAGGCCTGAAGCCCCTCTACAATTATTGACATTTATCAAAGTTCATGGAGTTGTTCATAGAGGCATGTTGTTCAGGAAGTGGATGCCACTCCTGCTTCCAAAGGCCACAAGAACTCCCTAGAATACTTTAGAGGGGTTTAAAATCCTTTAAAAATGATGCCAAGACATATGTGAAGTGGGATGGTAAATGCAAAGATCCTTGAGTTTGGAGTTAAAAAAACCCCACAATTCCAATGGTAACTTCACTTGCCAGCCTGCCCTCTCTTCTTTCAGGATTCCACTGCTGTCCATTCTGTTCTCACTTGTGGTCACTCTCCCTCAGCTTTCAAAGGCTGTAAATATCTATGGGCGGAGACTGCTCATTGGTATCACTTTCCGCAGATGGTGGATTTGAGCCAATGAGTTTTTAGTTAGCAGCACAGCATACAATGCATTATGCCACCAGAACTTTCTTCCTCCAGAGCCCACTCACAAACATGTCTGAGGATCCTGTTTCTTCTTTTCACTGCTGTACAGTCAACTTGTAGATCCTTCTCAGTGACATTCAAACTTTTTAAAGCCTCTCCTATCTTAGCCAAACTTACCACCGCCCTACTCCTCTCTCATCCCTTCTGGCCACTGCCTTGCCCCTCACCTCTCCCTTCGCTTTCTCAAGGCACTTCCCAACATGTTCCAATCTAGGTTCTGCCTTCATCACTTGCCTGAAAGACCTTTCCCCAAGGTAAACCATCGCCTTTGTACTGTTGATTCCAATGGATGCTTCTTGGTTTTTGTCTTTTGAGTAGATTTGTTGTTGCTTACCATCAAGTCAGAACCCTTTGGCGGGTTTTCAGTGACAGTTAATCAAAATGGGAGGAGACTGCTCATCTTTCTCCCATGCAGCAGCTGGTGTATTTGAACCAGGAGCCTTCGGTATTGCAGTCAGACTTCTTACTACTAGGCCATCAGAACATTTGACACTTTATTGCCTTTCCTTCAAACTCTTCTTGAAATAGTATTCTCCACTAGCTTCTGTGATACCACACTGTCCTGATTTTCTTACCTTGGTCACTTCTTGGGTTTTTGACCCAGCTTTGGAGTCCTCAAGGCTTAGTTTTTAGTTCTCTATAAATCTCACTGATTCTATGTTTTCTATTAACTATTCAAACACCAATTACTCTCAAATTGGGTATCTCCAAATCTGTGTATTTTAAACACTCATTTGATATCTTTCTAACCCCTCAAACACAAAAGTTCTCAAGTCCAAAGACAGTGGCATGTCCTACTGAGTGTCCTGCTTGGTGAACAAACTCGTAAGTGTTTAAATTCTCCATCTCCCTTGTCTTCCCAGCCTTCCTCAACAATTGCTAAGGCTTCTCATTTTACCTTCTGATTAACTCTCTGATCTGCCCATTTCTTTGAATGGCCATTAACCACCATCACACTAGTCAAAGCTGTCATTTGGTATGCGTCTGTCTGTTACAGAAAGGTCATTTGGGTGTTTTTTTTTTATTGGCCTTTTGAATGTTGTGTTGTTATTAGGTGCCATCGAGTTGTTTGCAACTCCTAGCCCTAAAACCTGCGCTATCCTGTGCTAACTTTACTGTCTCCGACACACCTCCCTCATTACCTTAGTCACTAAATCAATCCATCTCATCGAGGGTCTTCCTCTCCTGCGCTATCCCTCCACCCTTCCAAGCAGGACGTCCCTCTCCAAGGACTGGCCCCTCCCTGCAACATGTCCAAAGTATGTCAGATGAAGCTTCAGAATCCTTGCCTCTGGATTCTCTGGTGAAGCATGCTGCCTTCACCCTCTCTTTTGATAGAAATGGGAATTTATTTTCCAGGAAGGATGATCCCATCCTATGTCTGCTGGGACCAGCACATGGTCTCCTATTTGATGATTCTGTGTTTGGACCTGTGGCAGCCTGTCCTGTGCTTTTTGTCTGCAATGCTGAAACCTGGCCTACCCAGCACCACATCCAGGCCTTAGATACCAATGCTGGGGTCATATTGGATCCCCAGATCAATGTGCTCCTGGATCCCAACGCCAAAGTTTCCAGTATCTTAGAAGTTATATTTTTTTCCCTTAACTTATATTCTCACACCTTTAGACCTTTATCCAAGATTCCTTCTGCTGTGGCCCCTCGGACTGTGCAATGACAGCATTTCCCCCCCATTTCTCCTAATGCCAAAGGATCAGATGGTGTACAAGATGAGACGTCCTTGCTTAAAATTTTAGAACACCTTTTAATTCTAGAGATAAATTCAATATTTTTGCTGGGCTGATGAGCCTTCCACAGTCTCTCAGAAGAATGGGTAGCCTCTCAGTACCAGCCTGGCTCATCTTGTCTTCCTCGCCCTCCCCCAAACCCCCCCATGTTCTATCCCACTCTGGCTCTGTTGCCTGGAGTCTTAGCTTTGGGGCCTTGAGAGTTGCCTTCTCATGTCTCCAATATGCTTTCTTCCTATCCCTGGTATCACTAGTCTCCCAGCACAAACTCATTTAAGAGGCCTTCCTGAAGTGAGTGCTGAAACATTGCCAAGTCCACCTGTTGCCTTTTTTCAGAGCTCTTTAAGGAGCACCTTCACAGCTCTTAGCCCAACTTTAATTAGCTAACTTGTGTACTCAGATGTTTACTGTGTTTCCCCCGATAGAGGACATCATGCTGGGAAAGATAACCAGCAGGAGAGAGGAAGACCCTCAGTTAGAGGGACTGACACAGGGACTCCAACAAGGGAGAGCTCATGAGGACTGCACAGGGCAGTGCGAGGCTCAGATCTGTTGTCCGTGGGACTGTTTTGAGTGTTAGTTGAGTGGCTGACACTTCATGACAACAGGGACTTAATGATTAAAAATGGCTCAAATTACGTAGACTGCTTGGAGATTCAAACTTGTGACCCAAGGGACTAATACAGCCCGCAGACTTGCTTTGTTCATCTCTCATGTTTTAAAAGCAGAAGAGAGTGGTAACTTGTAGAGAGAAATGAAGGGCACTGGGGGACTTTTTCCAGGGACCAGTATCATTTCTTGACCCAGGGAGGGCCTATCAAAGTGGGAGTTTAGTATTTAAAAAACATTTTTTTCCATTAAACAGCATGTTTTCTGCACTCTTCTATCTACTTAAAAACATGAAAAAAAAAATGTAATTAGTTGCCAAATTTACAATCTCAGATTTCATGGAAAGAACCCAGAACTGTTTTTTTCCCCCTTGGCAATCATAGGACGGTATGCAATCATGAATGAATGGAAATCCAACTTTCTGTAAACTTCCATTAAAATCATAATAAAAAAGAAAATTTTTAAAAATCTTAAGACAGGTTTGTAACACCACACGGGGATCCTGGTCTGCAGGTGGGGACGGCTGTCTCCTTCAGATCCTGCACATGCCTACAGGTTATGGGTCTAAAGCTGAGACCTTCAACACTGAACCGCCTCTTAACAGCTTAGCATGACGGCACTTCACATTATAGGAAGGACTGGGCTAATAATGTTCCCTTAAAAACTATCTAGTCCGGATTGTCATTAAAGTCAACATTGATTTCTGCTACATAGCATTAAGCCAATTCCATCTCAAGAGTGACCCTACAGCTTAATCTGATATGGGAGCAGAAATGCCCCCAGGGTTTCCTCAGAGTCCTGGCTGCACAAGAAATAATTTAGTTGCTAATAAGAGGTTGTTGGAAGCAGGAGTGGCATCCACTTCTGTAAATAGCTTGCCTCTGGAAACCCTAAGAACCTGGAAAAAGGATGAAAGTCACCCATGCAAGTGTGGAGGACTTCGGTTCATAGGGCGCTATGAGTCGCCTACGACTCGACGGCACTTAGCAACAACAAAGGTTGGTGTTTTCAAAGGTACCAGTTGCTTTGTGGAAGAAAAGCAAGGCAATCTGACTTTGTGAAAATGTACAGCCTTAGAAATCTTACGGGAAGTTACAGTCTGTTCTTACAAGGTAGCTTAAAGTTTGAATAGACCTTATTGACAGCAGGAAGTTTTATTGGTATAAGTTACATAATGTTTATGGGAACAGATGGCCAGTTCCATCACCAGCAGAGCCACTGGTTCATAGCCCTTACCTCTAGGGAGCTCTGATGCCGTAGGAGTAAGGCGTAACTATAGGATATGGAGTTGTGGTTCACATCCACCAGGTGCTCCAAAGGAGAAGGATGGCAATCTCCTCGTGTGCAACTGACTGCCTCTGAAAACCCACTGGAAGGCCAGCCAAGGGTCGGTTCCAACTCAATGGTACATAATCCCCCCCTTGTTTTGGAGAGTGCTTAAATCACTGTCCCACCAGTGCTCAAATGAAATAATAGGGAGCACTCAAACTGTTGCTGGCCTGAGGTCTGAGGGCTATGGAACACATGGGTCTCTAGGGCAGCTCCTGTCCAGTAAGAACTTTCTGCAGTTGCCCAAGTGGTCTTGACCTTGGTTGTCCCTCGTGGTAACCACTCACCACATGTGGCTATTAAGCACTTAAAATGTGAGGGCCACACCAATAAGGATCCAGAGTCAGTTTTTAATTTACAATTACAACGGCCACACATGGCTTGGGACTCATCAGAAACAGGGCAGCTCTGAAAACCGAGTCCTTACCCATTTGCTTGTAGAACCACGTTTCCCCCTTTTAAAAGTGGGATTTTAACGAATGTTTACAGAAAAGTTGGACTTTCATTCTTTCATTTTTGCACATTTTCTTCCCTACCCACCCTGTTCACTTTTCAAAAAAAAAAATTAATTCATTATTGCATAACATCTCTTATTCTGGACTGTTGTCATGTAGATAATGCCTAATCATATATTCCTTTTAAATAGTTCTTTCCTTCATTTTTTCCAATGCAGTGTTCATTATTCCCTCGTTTCTTACTTTTCCTCCAACCCCGTCAGTCCTGTTATATAACAGTGGTGTTTGCAGTATTTGTCCTTTTATGACAGAGATATTTCACTCAGCACACTGTCCTCCAGGGTCACTTATGTTGTATAGGTTTTTTTTTTTAAATTTTTAAAAATTTTATTATTTTTGTGTGAGTGTACCGTCAAATCAGATCTGACTGGTACAGGAGGAGATTGTCCCTCCTTCCCCGGCAGAGCATCTGGTGGATTTGAACCATGCGCCTCTGGGATTGTAGTTGCAGCTCCTTACCACTAAGCCACCAGAGCTCCCCTGTTGTGTAATATTTTGAGTTCCTTGTTTTCAGAGTGTAGTATTCCATTCATTTGTTGATGGACACTTGGGTTGCTTCCATCTCTTTTTTTCCATTTCTTATTGTGAATAATGCAGCCATAAACATCTGTGTGCTACATATGTTTGGGTGGCAGCTCTGCTTTCTTTAGAGTCTATTCCTAGTAGTGAAATTGCTAGGTCAAATAGTATTTCTAGTTCCAACTTTCCAAGACACCGCCAGACCACCTTCCACAGTGCTTGTATCATTTTACATTCCCACCAGCAGTGAATAAGGGTTCCAATCTCTCCACAACCTCATCAGCATTTGTTGTTTGCTTCCCTGCTGAACTTTGCTGGGGTGAGATGATATTTCATAGTTGTTTTGATGTGTATCTCTCTAAGAGCTTGGGATTTTGAACATTTCTTCATGTGCTTGTTGGCCATCTGAAGGTCCTCTTTGGTGAAGTTAGAACCACATTTAAAAACTTTTAATTACACAAACCAGATGAGAATACTAAAACTCAAGGATGAGAGACTAACCATGCAAAAGCGAAGAAAAGAGAACCAGAAGAGCACAGGTTAAGTATGGGGCTAAAAAGAATGAACTTAAGGAAAATAGCCAGGCACTTTCTGAATCCCTTAATTAAGCAGAGCAGGTATATCAAGGATATTTTAGTAGCTCAGGTGAAAGAAGGCAGAAGGGAAGGAAAGGTTTCCTTCACATTAGCATGATTTAGGCAAATAATATGGTGCCCGCTGGAAACAATGCTTGACAGAAGGCACTGAAAAAGCATCAACTCACTGTCAAAGTAGGAATCGATCCATAGCTGGCTCCACAGAGTTTTTAGAGGCTGTCTCCTGGGAGGAGATTGTTCCCCTTTCTCCTACAGAGCAGCTGGTGGCTTTGAACTATCCACATTCTAGATTGGCAGCACAACTCTTTACCTACGAGGCCTCCAGAGCTCCCGTCACTCACTCAATGCCAGAGGTGGAATCAACCCATAGCCGACTTTCCAGTGGGTTTTCAGAGGTGGTAAATGGCATAGGAGGAGATGGCCCCTTCTTTGTCCTGAAGCACAGCTTGTGGATTAGACCAGCCTGTTTTCGGGTTGGCAGGGCAACTCCTTACCCCTAGACCACCAGAGCTCCCAGGGAGGTATAAACGCTTCAACCAGCTCTGGCATCTGGCAAGGAGACTGTGGTTTTATTATCTAATACTAGCTTAGTAATAGGCCAACTTTATTATCTGTCCTTTACAATTACTAACTACAGAGCATTTACAACCTCTGAAAACCTACCGGAGGGTCACCCATGAGTCAGTTCCAACCCAACACAATAACACTAGCATTAAAGGGCTTTAACGGCACAACGGTTAAGCACTCACTCCCCTACTGGTTCAAAACAACAAAGACCTGGTTATGTGCTTCTATTTTTTTTTTTATTATTTTGTTTTTGTGTGTGTGTACCGTCAAATCGGATCTGACTGGTACAGGAGGAGATGGTCCCTCCTTCTCTGGCAGAGCATCTGGTGGATTCGAACCGCGTATCTCTGGGATTGCAGTGCAGCTTCTTGCTACTAGGCCACCAGAGCTCCCCTTATGTGCTTCTTTTAAAGGTTACAGTCTAGAAAATCCTTGGGGGAGGTTTTACTTGGTCATGTAGAGTCACTATGAGTTAAAAAACCCAAAAATTCAAATCAATGTCACGTAAGTAAAGTTCGGATGTGGCTTACAGTCCTGTGTTGTTCAGGAGGGCCTGGCTGTGTATGAAGGCAGTTAGTTTAGTTCTGAGCTCTTTAATCTCCTTGCATGAAAGAAAAATCACAAAACTGAAAATTTAGGATTTTCAGTAAGGACGGCAGTACTCATGGTTTGTTACTGGAAGAGAGAAACTTTAGGAGGAAACGCTATTCAAATTCTTAGAAGCAAATAGCACAGGGGGCTCTCTAGCTAGTGGAAGAAATCTAGGTCCTTTTTTCTTTTAGGGCTAAATTTACTGTGATAATAATCACAAAGATCTCATTTCAGATCTGCTGTGAAGAAGACCCAGAATGAGGGGGAGGGGTGAGATGCAGCATTTGTTTAGGAAAGTAACAGCAGGTGCAGATACCACAGCCATCAGAAAAGGGCTCGCCTGCAAACTTTACTGAGATTTTGGCAGATAGGGAAGGACAGGTTACATAAAATGGACTGTCAACAAAGGTAGACTAGTGACACGAGATCTGGTAGAAACTTTATCTATAAATGCAAAAGAAGATATCCTGATGTGTATGCTCAAGGCTTGCTCTGTGTTCTGACTTTCCTGGAGGAGTGGGCCATGCCGAACTAGTGCATTGTAGGTGCATTAAAACTGACTTTCCAGGGAGCTCTGATGGCCTAGTGGCAAGAAGCTGCACTGCAATCCCAGAGATATGCGGTTCAAATCCACCAGATGCTCTGCTGGAGAAGGAGGGGCCATCTCCTCCTGTACCAGTCAGATCCGATTTGATGGTACACACTCAAGAAATAATAAAATAAATTTTAAAAATTGACTTACCTATTGGAACCCAGTAACAAAAACCTGTCAGAGGAGTGTTCATGGCATAGTGCCTAAGCCTCTGGCTGCGAACTGAAAGGATGGAGGTTTGAATCCACCACACACTCTACAGTGTAATGTAATAGTGTCTGTGAAGAATTTAGCTCAAGAAACCCGATGGGACAATTGTACTCTGGCCTGATAGGGCCGCTATGAATTAGGAATCCACATAACAGCTTTTTTTTTTTTAAATACCCATCAATCTGTCTTAAATCCGTGGAAAGCTTTTTAAAGTAGTATGGAATCGTTTAAATCAGAATTTTACTTACATTTAGTAGTTCAAAAAGAAAAAGATAAAAGGTTGTATTAACACTAAATTGTAGTGTTTCTTTTACAAGCATGTAAGTGGGTGAAAAGATAACTTCCTGTGTGTTCCTCAAATAAGAATCCATTACATCTTGTGCACTGTTGTTGCTTATTGCCTTTGAGGATGACTCACAGCGATCTATGAACAAAAGGCCTGAAGCCTTTCCATAACTATTGACATTTATCAACTGTTCATTACAGCACAGCAAAGACTACTAAACAACCAGAAGGGAAAGCCGTTCCGAGTCCTGATGACACTGAAGAAGCAGTATTAGATAAGCGACTTAAGTATTATAGATACCCACGGTTAATGAGACATTTGCCTCCAAGAACAATGTCCATCTCTACAGAATGGCATGAATACAAAAAGGATAATCAGAACATTAGTGTGGGGAAAGACGTCCACTCTGATGTGATGATTCACAGAGACCATGAAAAGGACTCCAGAGCCCCTTCTCCACGCTGGGCGAGGGCGAAGCAAGACCAGGAAAGGTCCTCCTCCTCGGCCTCGTCCATCTCAGACGTGTTTTGGCTGGAAGATTATGCCCAGACTGAAGAGAGCAAAGGCCAACCCGGTTAGGCCATGGCTTGCACGCCTGTGACCGTAGGTGCTTCCTCTTTGAAGCACCCTGTTTCTGCACATCACCACATACGCACTGTACTCACAGAAACATGTGCAGATTTATCAGCTCTCTTCCATGTGTTGTAAAAGCCTTTAGCAATGTGCAAACTCAAGAGGGCAGCATCCTTCAGACCCTCCAGACGGAAGAACGGCTCATTTTATAAGAAAATGGAATAGAGACAGTCATCAGAATGAACACAGTTGAGAACTTCGCCTCTTACGGTGAGTGCATTTTTTCTTTAGATATTTAGCAATCTTTTTTTAAAGGTAAGATTCAAATGCCTTATTTAAAAGAAATTAATTTCTCGGCTAGTTGTTTGTATTAGACCCTTCCATTACACGCCTCACTTGTAAGCTCTTTTACTTCGAATATTGATAATTACTTGTTATGTGCTGAGTTGCTTGAGACTCAAAGCAACCCTATGTATAACAGCCCTGAAACCTGCTCTATCCTGAGACAACCTTATCGTCTCTGACACGCTTACCCTCATTACAACCCCAGTCATTGAATCAATCCATCTTAGCCAGAGTCTTCCTCTCTTGTGCTGCCCCTCCACCCTCCCAAGCATGACGTCCCTCTCCAAGGACTGGTCCCACCTTGCAACATGCCCAAAGTATATCAAACAAAACTTCAGAATCCTTGCCTCCAAGGAGCAGCCTGGTTTCACCCTCTCCAGGATGAAGAGACTGGATAAAAACAAATGAAGGAGAGGAGGAAAAAAAGAAAACTCTGTCACAATGAAGAAAAACCAACCATAAAGTGAAGGAATACAGGATACATTGTTGTTGTTGTTGTGCACCAGAGTCAGAACCGACCCATAGCTGACCCTCCGGTGGGTTTTGAGAGGCAGTTAATCGCATGAGAGATTGCCCATCCTCCTCCCATTGAGCAGCTGGTGGTACTGAACTGTGTGCCTTTGGAATTGCAGTGCAGCTTCTTGTCACTAGGCAACCAGAGATCCCTATAGGACATTGTTGTTGCATGCTGTTGAGTCACCTGTGACTCATGTTGTTGTCGTTATGTGCTGTCGAGTTGCTTGAGACTCACAGTGACCCTATGTACAACAGCCCTGAAACTTGCTCTATCTTGTGCCAACTTTACTTTTCTCCGACACACTAACCCTCATTACCCCAGTCACTGAATCAACCCATCTCGAGGGTCTTCCTCTCTTGCACTGTCCCTCCACTCTCCCAAGAATGATGTCCCTCCTTGCAACATGCCCAAAGTATGTCAGAGCCTCAGAATCCCTGCCTCCAAGGAGCAGCCTGGCTTAACCCTCTCCAGGACAAACCTGGAGTTTGTTCTCCTAGCAGTCCATGGTATATTCAACACTCTTCTCCAGCACCACAGCTCAAAGGCATCAACTCTCTATCATCCCTAGTCATTGTCCAACTGTCTGACACATAGCAAACAATTGCAGACTATTGCCTGGATCAGGCGCACCTTAGTCTCCAGACTGACGTCGTTGCTCTTCAGTACTCTGGAGAGATCCCTGACAGCAAGACGACTCATAGCGACCCTATGTACAGCTCTGAACCCTGCTCTATCCTGAGCCAACCTCACCAGCTCTGATGTCAGGAGACAAATTAGGGAACACTAGGAAACTTAATAAAAAAATTCAGAAAAGATAAAAAGGATAGAGTCTAGGCTAAAATGTAACTATCCTTCACACCCATGTCCACTGTAAAATTAAGGAGTCCTGGTGGCACAGTGGTTAAACACTGGGTAGCTAACTCAACGACTGGCAGTTCATACTTCCCAGCTGCTCTGGCAGGAGGAAGATGGGACAGCTTACAGCTCTGGAGACTATGGGGCAGTTCTACTCTCTTCTTTCAGGTCACTGTGAATTAGAAAAAATGGGCTTGCAGTGGGTTTATTTGGTGCTCATGGTTACAAATGTGCAGCACTGCTTTTATCTTAAGAAGTCATGAATAATAATCTGGAAATGTTATGACAGTCACTTGGCCTTATTTTTATTAGGTCCTGACACTTTTGTGCTCATTCTTACAGTCTCCTTTACAGACTTTGAACACCAAGACCCTGTGTAGAAGTCCTTGCTGGTTAGCTGGTAAGGAAAAACACAAGAAAATTATTTTTAAAACAATGTTTTATTGACATTGGGTCATTTGGGAATAATTACCCACATTTATTTATACGTTAAGATATTTTACCTCATTGGAAAAAAAAAAGAGATAAACGTTATATTACAGCCTTTTTAAACTTTGATGTGTCTGCTGCTGAGTTGAGTCAATGGTCAGTTCTTTGATGTAATACGGACTTCACTATTTTAATTCATCAACAAAAGGTGTATGCCCCAAATTTCCACTTGCTGCCATTGATTTTTTGCCAGAAACAAACTTCGTTGCAGCCTTTAAATAAAAAACAAAAACAAAGACAAAAGTTAATAGGAAGAAAATGTCCTACTGCGTAAACATATTTATTCTGTTATTTCAGTAAGACATTCTAGGCCAGCAAGTCTCTAATGGCATCTTCTCAAAATTAACTAGAGGAGATAGAGTTCTGCTTTAAATCGTGACCATACAGCAGAAGCGCTCAGCTGTGGACCTTGTAAGGGCACAGCAGATATGTTAAATGAGCAAGGACAGTGCCTATCACTGCATTTTGTTTCTTAATTACAAATGATATAGTCTAGGCCACTTAAAACATACCGACAGTTTCCTTAAAAGTAAAGATTTCTATCCTCATACTCATTATGCCATTCTTTAGGTTAAGTAGAATACAAACAATACCATGAGTCCAGGAGAGCAGCCGCTCTCCCACGACCCCAGACAAGTAAGACGGAGAAGAGAGGCTGATGTAAAGAGGTGGGCTGTGCCTTGAATTATGGTGCATTAAATGATACAGTTTTGTCAAAGAGTCTAAGATGAGACACTTAGGGGCCAAACGAAACCAAGTCAAAATTACTACCTTAAAATAGCTTTGTCTCTTTATATCATCCCTACAGGACATAACTTGAAGGGAAAATGGTGGAAGTGGAATGGTATTTTTAATATAAGGAGGACAGGGAACAAACGCTTATCAATTTATTAATTTCATGTAGCTGTTAGCACATGTGGTTCACCTACTTCTTATGCTTTCATGTACAAAAAGGTATAGGGAATAGTTCTTGCTCTCAATACAAGTCAATCTTACATAGAAGAATCATGTGAGAAAGCCTGTAACAAGACCAGGAAAGTGGAGCCAGAGAAGAATAAAGGAAATTCTGAGATACCAGGTGGAAAAGGATTAGTAGGATATAGAGTTTATTTCTGGAGTGGTAAGGATGAAACATGCAAACTTTTGGCTCTTTTTGATCCATGAGGAAAGAGACTTAAAATAGGTAAGCTTAAGGCTGAGTTGCGTGAAGGAGATACACAGACCCTGCCTTGACAAGGGGGCATCTGCAGCTGTGATAGCAACAAGCCCTTTGTCACACCAGGCAGACAGGGATGAAATAGCCTCAGCATAACATGTACAGCCCAAAGAAGCTTCTGAATTCTTTTCTTTCTGAAACACAACCATTAAGGTATGAAATCATAGACTTTATTGAGTTTAGGAGTCCCAAGTCTACGTTAACATGATAGAAATGTTTGCTTACGTTTTTGATGTCACTAGCAGTCACTGAGTCAATCTGCTGAAGGACTGTGGTTGGTGGCATGTAAGAACCAGCAACTAGAGCCTGGAATCCAACTTCATTCAGAAAACCCTCGGAAGATTCCACCGACATTAGGTATCCAGCTTTCAGCTTGTTCCTGCCCAGTAAAGCATATGCAGTTAAGGCAGTTTTATAAAGTATGTTCTCAAGCTCTTAATTATGTTTTGGTAAACATGAAAACGAACAGAACTGAAATCTAAAAGTGCTTAAAAAAAGGCACTAGAGGGTTCCATATAGTGCTTTAGTTCATCAAATATTATTGACATTACCATTTTGGAAAGGTGTCATATAAAAATAATACTGAAACTGCTTTTGGCATTTAGGTCTAGTTAAAACTATTTTAATGCAAGGATTTGATTAGTCAAGTGATAATTTTGCAGTTATTTCTATTAAATAAAAACACCTCACGTGGTACTCGAGGCACTGTTCATTTAGCGGTCTAGTTCTCTGTCCCCTCCCACCCCAACCTATTTCTGTGCCGGGATTTGCTGCAATTTGAAGGGTAAGGCATGATGAAGACAGGGGAAAATAAGGAACAGGATAGTATGGGTCTTGTCAGCCCCTGTGGACAGATTAAACGGAACCTAGTGGTACAGCAGTTAAGCACTTTGCTGCTACCTGAAAGGTTGAGAGTTTGAACCCACCAACCTGCTGTTCGGTGGGAGAAAGATATGGCATGAAGATTTATAGTCTTGGCAACAAACTGCTCACAACAGGTGTACTCTGCCCTGCAGAGTTACTATGAGTCACAATTCTCTCAGAGACTGTTATAAGCAGTGCTCAGGAAAGCTTTTGAGCTATTTAACCCTCAGATAACCTATTAATCCTTGGCATTCTATAGAACATCTTATTAGAACATACTTAAAATTTAAGAGAGCAACTTTACCAAAATTACTAGCTTAATTAAAAAAGCATTTTGTCTGCAGGCAGTCAACTTTCCCAAGAGTTATCAATCTGTCCCTTCAGCAAGGACACCTCACTTTCTTTTTCACTTTTGGAAGACTGAGAGTCCTTACAAGGAAGAGTACCGACGCCATCAAAATGTCAGAAAACGAACAGATGTTGACATTAATAATTGAACTTCCCCCTTTTTAGATGTTGCCATACTTTATAAAAACTGTTACATTTATTAAATTTTCTTAAATAAATTAGATGTGAAGCTTGGATTGTTCTTACATCAGATCCATGTTTGAATTTTTATTTTCATCATATTTTACTTCTGGTGAAATCATGTACAGCCACATTCTATGGGTCCCTCCTTCCATGTGTGTACTATTTCATAAATTGTATTACATTGCAACCTCCTGGAGAGATGTAACTTTGTAGTGTGTTTACTATAACAAAAGTAATACCAATTGGAATAGATAGGAGTAAAAAGTGTTCCATCCTGGGCTGGAATTTACTCTGCATAACTCACTTGTTATTAATGAATACCAAACATATTTATAATTTATATTTATAATCTAGCTGTCCAAGGAACTCTGACGGCATAATCCACAGCACCAATCCAAAGGCCTTGTGTCTCTGGCAGTTTGAATCTACCAACTACGTCCTGGGTGGGGGAGGGTAAGGGTGGTTTCCTCCTGTTAAGACTTCAGCTGTGGAAACCCAGTGTGGGGGGTCGCTACAAGGTGGAATCAATTTGATGACAATGAGTTTGGCTTTTTTTGAGTTACACGTACTTATGTAATCAGGGCAGTAAATAAAAGGCTGGAAAGGTGTTAACATGTTTCTGGATGGTGGAAGGCAATACTAAATGAGCACTGACAACTATTTAAGTTTAGGATCCACTTTGTGATTCTCCTAAACTGATGAAGAGAAATAAACTGGTGCATGAAAATGCAGTCTGATTTCTAACTTTATCCAAAAGGTTGATAATACGAGATTTAATTATGGGAACTTGAGGTTTCAATGAGTTAGAGGTGGCGTTTATAGTTAGTGCTTTCAGCCCAGTCAGTGGGAACTTAAAAACCACCAAGAAGATGTATTGGAGTATTTTTTAAGTGGAGAAATAAAATATAAAATTAGTTGTCTAGTATATTGGTAAACAGGAAAAAACCAAATTCCAGTGGTTATAAGAGAGGCAGTCTTCATATACCAGTGGTATGATTATAAAATGGTGTAACGTTTTCAGATTGTAAATTGAAAATAGAAAAATAAAAACATTAAATAGACATACATATAAAGAAAACTAGACATATACACATACATATCATGTTTGAAAACAGAAAAATAAAAACCTTAAATATACATAATGTTTATAACTCCTGCTTAAGTTTGGACTCTATTCCCAAAGAGTAATATTAAATTTAAAGGTATCCTTGAAAGTTTAATTTTCAACTGCAGAAATGTCTAAGTATATACTGTTCACAACAAATATCTAGTAATCTGTTTGGCAGGAGTCATAGTAGAATCAGAGATACAACAAACATGCTACTAAGTATATGTATGCACATACACACATGACTGTATTTAAAACATGGTCAGTAATCAGGTAAAATATTAAGTGTCATCTCTAGATAGCAGGATTCTGAGTGTGTTTCCTTTCTACTATGTCACTGTTCTTTTCAATCCTTATGAGCATGACTAGAAAAAAAATGACAGCTTTCAGATTAGCAAAGCACAATGTCAACATGGAAACTCACTTGGCAGCTTGGACGACTGTATCCGAAAGGCTTCCCTGAGCAATGGCTTTTACTTGGTCATAGGCGGTCTTGATGACCTAGGACAGACAAGATAAGGTGGGTCACCTCTGGGCAGTACTGGTCTCCTTCAGCAACCACAAGCTCCTCTACTGAGGAAAAAAATAGGAGCTGGAAGGTCAGCTCCTCAGAAAAGGCACAATGGCGAGCTCTGGTGGCCTAGTGGCAGGAAACTGTACTGCAATCCCAGAAGTGCACGGTTCAAATCCACCAGATGCTCTGCTGAAGAAGGAGGAACAGTCGCCTCCTGTACCAGTCAGATCCAATTTGACGGTACACGCATAAAAAAAAAAGTAAAAAAAAAGGCACAATGCCTAGTTGGAGTTCTTCAGCCATCATTTATTTCATATCCTTTCTGTGTTCCATAAAGCAGCTATTTGTATAACATATTGTAGCCAAGAAAGGACATAAAGATCACAGGAAAAACCCCAAAGCGGAATAGCTGTCCTCTGCTTGACCCTGACTCGTGATCCTCCTGAAAGGTATCAGAACAGAACTAAAGCCCACAGGTTCGCTTTCAGTGGCTGATTTCTGGAACGTAAACTGCTGGGTCTTTCTTCAAAGGCAACTTTGGGTGAAGTGCCAACCTTCTGATTAGTGAATGCCTTCCTAATTTGTACCCCTGGGGATTCCCAAAATGGTGGCATTTCCTAGCACTCTGGTTTCTGTCTACTTTCTTTATAATCTTTCACCTCTAACTTGTACTTCAACACAATCTCTCTACTACTCACAATGCCCAAATGTTTATCTTGACTAAAGCTTCTCCAGAGTTCTTAACTCGGCTGTCCCAGAGTCAGCTAATGTGCTGCTCACTGAAATGGAACCCTAACACCAAGGAGGTATTTTCTCTCTTTCCTTGAGACAACAGCATACATTTCTGACGTTTCCCCACAGTACTCTAAATGCTATTACTACACAGAACGCTGATAAACCACAGCAATCAAACAGTCCATGTTTTAATGAAAAACTTTTCAATGGAAAGCAATCCCCCCTCCCCCCCAAAAAACAACAAAAAAAAGTAAGAGCTTGCAAGGTTGCAACTTACATCTCCAGCAGCTTCAGCCTGTGAAATCGTGTAGATCCCAAAGAGCCCAGAATCTGAGTAGCCGGCATTAAAAGCGGAGACCTAGAGTACAAGGAAACTGGATGCATGCTATTCCACCACGTACGCAAAACACAATTTTCCCGAGGTTGTCTTGATAAAAATGTGCCCCTTACAGTATGAGCAAAACAGATTAATATTTCACTTAATTTAACCAAGAGATTTTTCCTGCATACAAATGACCTTTTACTAGAGCTCCCTGTTTTATTGTAGCTATTTCTAAAAGGAATGTGCACTTTCCTTTTGGCTCCCTATGTCCTTAGATGACCAAAGGTCACTGTGTCCCAAACAGGTACCTGCAAACATGTAATACAGACATGGCAAGGCCTGGTGGTAAGGAGCACTTTGTAGCTGTTATTCTTTGGCACGCAGGGTGTGGGCATTCAACAGGATGGGTTTCTTCTCACTGCTGCTGGTGGCAACTTTTCCCCAATTCTCATTCCCTTCCCCAAGGGGCTGAAGCCAAAGGACTGGGGCACATTCTATTAAATGTCTCTTATCCAGATGTTCAAAGTAGCCTCACTGGTACTTTGGGCACTGCTGTCTGTAGTCTGAGCAGAGATTTAAGATTCTGAAGGTGAATTTGATTGCCTAGTCTAATGTTTCACATTATTTATATAACCCGTGTGTAGAAGGACTACTTGAGTTCGTATTATAAAAACACAGATCTTTAGGTACCTGTCCCAAATTAGCAATGCAGCCTGGAAAGCGCCACCCCCAACTTTTTTTTAAGCTCTACTTTTAAACTAGCATTCTAGGTGATTCTTATGAACATTAAGTTTAAGAACCACTGGTTAAGTCAATGTAAAACAAAAGAAAGGGGAAACAAAACCCAAACAACACTTCAATTCTTTGAATTCGAATTCTGAGATTCTCCTATTCACATTGCAAATTTCTGAACAAGAAATTTATATGAAACTATCATTACAAAATCAGGATTTAATTCAGTACGGGTTGTATCTCAGTGTCAAGAAAACAAAGATTTTTACCACTGGCCCGATAAGCAACATCATGATGGATGGAGAAGAGACTGAAATGGTCAACAACTTCATTTTACTTGGATCCACAATTAACACCCTTCGTGTTAGGAAATAGGCGATTAGAGACCTCTCCAAATTACTGATGAGTAATAACATCAGTTTGAGGACTGAGGTATGTCTGATTTAGCCCCCCATGGTCTTTCCAATCATTTGCTGTGCATCTAAGCACTGGACAATGAATAAGGATGACAGAAGAACTGATGCCTTTGTGTGTTAGAGAAGAGCCCTGAACATCCCATGGACAGCCAAGAGATATGTCATGGAGACGGTGCAGCCAGAGTGCTCTTTGGAGGCAAGAATGACGAGGCTTTGCCTCACATACCTTGGACATGTTGCTAGGAGGGGCTATTCCTCGGAGAAGGACATGATGCTAGGAAGGATGGAGGGTTGGCAAAGGAGAGGAAGACCCTCAACCTGACTGACATGGTGACTGCTGCAATGGGCTCTTGTGTATCAGGAAGTGTGAGGATGGCACAGGAGAGAATAGGGTTCAGATCTGTTGTTCAAAGGGTCGCTATGAGTCATACTTTACTCAGTGGCACCTAACAACAACAACATCCTAGAATTTTTTATATTAAAGTTGATTTTATTTTTTTAACTAGTGAATTCTTTTTCTCTTTATGTATTTTTTATTATTATTAATTTTAATGAAAATTTAGACTTTGGATTTCCATTCATTCAAACATCCTAGAATTTAATACATTGGTTGCTTGTTTTTTATAAGTTGTTACATGCTGTCAAGTTGCCTGTGACTCATAGTGACTCTATGTACAACAGACCTAAACCCTGCTCTATCCTGTGCCAATCTGTGTGTCTCTGTCACACCTACCCCATTACCTCAGTCACTGAGTCAATCATCTTTTCGAGGGCCTTCCTCTCCTGTGCTGTCCCTACACCCTCCCAAGCATGACATCTCTCCAAGGACTGGTCCCTCCTTGCAATATGTCCAAAAAGAACAAACAGGTTTGTCATGGAGAGGGTTAAAGCAGGCTGCTCCTTGGAGGCAAGGATTCTGAAGCTTTGCCTGACATACTTTGGACATGTTGTTTTTATGAGAAAAACTTATATTTAGAATTAGCTAGCTAGACTTTGACTAGATGATTGCAATTTTGTTGGAAACATCCAAATCGTCATAGTCAGGAGCAAGTGCAATACTGGCCTTCATCTCTCCATGAAGCCTAATCAAGGTGTTGACCTTGGCCACATCAATAACACTTCTTTACAGCTTGTTTGATTTGGTGCTTGTTGGCCTTGACATCCACAATGAACAAAAGTGTGTTGTTATCTTCTATTTTCTTCATGGCTGACTCAGTGGTCAGGGGAAACTTGATGATGGCCTAGTGGTCAAGCTTGTTTCTCCTGGGGGCACTCTTCCAGGGGTATTTGGGCTGCCTTCGGAGTCTCAGCGTCTTAAGCCACCGGAAAGTGGGTGACGTTCAGATCTTTTGTGTGTGTGTGTGTGTGTGGCTGTGGATGCCCTTCAGGACTGGCTTCTTAGCCTTTAATGCCTTTGCTTCAGTTTTGGGCAGGAGCTTCCTTCTTTGCTTTTGGCGCCATCTTCCATTTGTCGCTTTTCAAAGGCATGTAATCTATTACACTGAGCAAACAACAGTCACGCATAAAAGAAGGCTGGTTGGCATCTTTTAGTGTCCCGATTTGAATATCATTATTTTTTAAGTTTTAGCACTTTCCCCCATTATAAAAAGATGTCTTCTTAAGCAACATGAACGTTCATGAGTTTAATTGACACCTTTTTCTTTTGAAGCAGTTTCTGGGTGCCTATCTTGTACACTTGGTTAAGAAACTGGAAGAATAATGGAAATGAGAACGTAGTCATAGCAACAGAAATGCACAGCAGAAAATACAGCAATGAAAAGACTAACTGCAAGCTAGGGGACCCTTTGCTAGTTAATGGTTTATCGGAAAGGAAACTAAAGTATGAATTTTTGATGAATTTCATTTCTAGGCACTCGATTTTTCTTCCTGATTAGAATTAAAAAGACACGAAACCTATGATAGATTTGCTAAGATACTGAAATAAAGTTCCTCTGTTCTACTTTACAAAGCTCTAGTATGTGTTCATCTTTAATTAAGAGCAAATTAGTATCATGTCTACATTTTAAACACTGAACCTTTGAAAATAAAAGGTCTATCAAGTGCTTAGACTCACATCAAATGGCTGGTTAATTCCCTTTGCAACAGCCTGGTAGAGGGAGCTGGTGGCGTTGCTGCCTCTCTTGACGTGGGGTCCTGCGCCGAGAACGTGCTGAAGCACACTGAACGCACTCGCTTCCGGACTTCCTATGGCAGCGCTTTCTGCCACGAGAGCAGCATGGACCAGGCTGTCTCCGTTCTGCTCTCGAATTTCACCTGGCGCCAAGGGTGGGCGAGAGAAACAAGTTATCTATGGTTCTACTCTTCAGCATCTCCTACAACACAATATTCACACACCCCACATATTCTCCCCATGCCATGGTTCCCAATCCCCCAAAACACATTTCATATACATGACCCAAGCCATCTAATTCTCTCATTCCATATTAAGACTTTCGGAATAATGAAGCTTTGCTGTGGTTGTTAGCAGCCACAAGTCAGCCCTTGACTTTTGGAGCAAAAGAAGGAAACACTGTCTGGCCCTAAACCATCTCCACAATCGGCTGCAGATTGAACTTCAGGGATGCACACGGTTCTCACTGGCTTACTTTTGGAAACAGAAAGGTCTTTTAGCTAAACTGTGTTAGTCTGAAAGCACCATTGAAACCCATTAGTTATCAGAGTGATATGCAGGCTCCAATAACAGACAGTGGCTACACATGAGGTACACTGGCTGGGAATTACGCCTAGTTTGTTATTGTTATGTGCCGTAGAGTCACTTGCAACTCATAGCAACTCTACGTACAATAGCTCTGTACCCTGCTCTATCCTGAGCCAACCTTATTGTCTCGGATACACCTACCCCCATTACCAAAGTCATTGAGTCATTCCATCGCATCGAGAGTCTTCCTCTCTTGCACTGTCTCTCCACCCTCCCAAGCATGGTGTCCCTCTTCAAGGACTGATTGGTCTTTGTAACATGCCCAGAGTATGTTAGCCAGAGCTTCAAAATCCTTGCCTCCAAGGAGCAGCCTGGTTTCACTCTCTCCAGGAAGCAGGGATCCCATCAATTACAGTGTGCTATTCTAGGGTGAAAACAAGAAAATCAACACTAACAGAACAAAATGCTCACCTCCACGATACACGGTCTTTGCACCAGCTAAACCTAGACCCCCTCTCATGTTGAGAAACTGTTCAGCAACTTGCTTTAGCATAGGGTGACTCACACCTATTGCAAAAGAAACAGAAATGAGCTAGAGCAGAATTTCCTAAGCATAATTAGACAGCGCCTACTGCTTTTTCTTTCTTTAAAAGCACTATGAAATTCAGTCATCACAGAACAGTAAGGAAAGCAAGAGTTCTGCCCATAATGCTATTCTTCCCTAATGCCTCACAGTTTATTATACTCATCTAGAATTTTTTCCTGTGCACATATTACTAATTATCCTTTGTTCCTTTTGTTTATTAAATTGGTCTTACTATGTGATGATGTTTTTAACTTGTATAACTTACAGCATTGAGTGGTCTACATTTAATGATTATAAAAATCTACAATACTTATGTATATAATTTATTCAATCAATTCCTTCTTTGATGGACATTTTAATGTTTCTAATAATTTTGCTATTTCCACAGTATTTTGTTGTACATTAAAAGACATTATCAACATAGAGAAAATTTAACCCACAAAATGAGAGGAAATGATTTGTAAATAGGCTAAGGATCTAGAATCTAGTAAGACTGCAACAGTGAAGGCAAATAATTCAATTAAACAGACAATTCTCTACAGAGGAAAAACATGCAACAAATTCAAACACACATGCAGGGAAGGCAGCTTTGGTGGCACAGTGCGCAGGGCAGTGCACTGGCTGCCAAAAGGCCATGACTCTAGTGGTTCAAATCCACCAGTGCTCCAAGGAAGAATGATGGCAATCTCTCGTGGAACCTTCCTCTCTCAGAAACCTTTGACGGGTCAGCTGTGAGTTGGTCCCGATTTGACAGCAATGAGGTTATGAGTTTCACATGCATGATTTGCAATTTAGATCCTTTACCGACTTTATCACTAAGTTGTTTTGTTTGTTTGTTTTTTTAAATTGTGTTATTGTGTGTGTACCATCAAATTGGTTATGACTGGTACAGGAGATTGTCCCTCCTTCTCCAGCAGAGCACCTTGTGGATTTGAACCGCACATCTCTGGGATTGCAGCGCATCTTCCTGCCGCTAGGCCACAAGAGCTCCCCTAAGTTGTATTTTTTTAAAAAAATATCCAGGAACTCTTTGTTTAGTGACTGGGAATTACACCTACTTGTTATTGTTGTCACAAAGCGGTCCTTTGTGATAGGTTTTTTAAACACTCTAATTAATTTAAACCAAGTAGTGTACAAAGTCAAATATATCCAATTCTACTTTCCAGAAAAAAAGGCTGAGGAACTAAATAAAATGTTATCATATACTGCCTGCTTGTCATAAATATAGGACTGAGTTTTCAAATTCAGTCTGATTCTGTGCTCATGGAATCACAGTTGAAGGTACTGCTCCCATGGAAGCAGGATGCTAAGACAGGCAATTCCCAGCTTACCAAGTCCAATCAACGCCATTCTTGCACTTGTAAAGTGGTTCTGTACAAAGAAATGTAACTGGGGAAATGAAAAACAGACATTAAATTATTTGTTATGAATAAAAATGTGGTTGAAATGTAAAATTCTATTTAGAGTAAAGTGATACACTAAGGCTTAAAGCTGCTCCGCGATGGTCAGGTGCTACATCAGTTATGACAGCAATTGTACGCACAACAGAATCCAAGCTGGCTGGTCCTGCACTGTCCTAATTGGTGCTATGTTGAGGCTCACTCTTGTAGAGACTCTAACTCTATCCTCCTTCTCACTAACCCTGTCCTTTAGGAACCATGTTAGCTTTCTTGAGGAACTAGTCTCTTCTAATAATGTGACTAGAGCTGTCTTTTTTTAAAAAAAATTACCAAACAGCTGGAGACAAAGTCTTGCCTCACTCTCTTTCAAGGTGAATTCTGACTGGAATTCTTCTAAGACATATCTGTTTGTTTTGTGATAATGACTCATGACAGAAGACTACTGAATGTCAAATCATCTTAGGAGTTTACTGAAGAAACTACTGTTTCAAAGACTAGATCTTGATGGCTACACAATTCAGCTAATCTAAAAAATTACTCAACTGTACATTTTAATTAGGTGAATTGCATAGTATGAGAGTTCTATCTCAATGAAACTACTTTTCAAAAGTGAACTGGAAAAAAGAAAGAATTGGATCATGTACACTGGTTTGAACATTTTTTCCCCCCAATGAGAATATATGGCATATGATGATTCATAAATAGTTTTTTGTTAGCATCTGAGTATACTCCATGGAATTTTGCCATATTAATTAAAATTTCTGAATCATTCCATTAAGGAAATGATTCTGTTTCATAAGTTAGTAAGGACATTTACCTTACTTCTAATTTTTCACAATGATACATGAGGCTATCATAGACGTGCTTGCTGAGAAATGTTACAGGCATTCTTTGGCTGCCTGAGTTACACATCCTTATGCTGGAGCTTGATTTTTACAAATTTTCAAAATTCATTAGAGGCCAGTCTTATGGAAAAAAAATTGCCATCACTCAAGTCGAGCGATAGAAACAAGAATGTTAAAAAAATGCTGTGTGAATGACAGACATTAAACTACTTATGGCTAACCAGTTTTGTTTTTTTATTTAAAGCCAGAGATAAACCAAAAGCGGAAAGCAATATACCAACAGATTTTCTGTACTAGATAAGTGGAATGCAAATGAGAATAGAACTTTTTAAGTTCCAAGTATATTTAGGCGGTATTGATAATTCTAAATTTTTCTTTGCTAACCTGAGAGGTAGGATTTAACACTCAGCATATCATGCTGTGGAAAGGTACTATGATATTGCTGTGACTCGTGAGAAATCTGATGCAGCTAAATTCAGTGTGCTGCAGATGGTGAACAAGCTAGTGAGTGAGCTGATGATGAGGTGAGGAGTAATGAAGAAGGGTTTATTCCCAGCCAAGTATTTAGGGAGATTACAGACTAAAATTCTTTAGTCAGAGGACTTATTATGATATTTAAGCATGTAAGTTGTGTTGAAAAAAAGGTATACAGGAAAAAGATCTAGAAGAAAATCCATCAAGGTCTTAAAATAGAGTATCTTGTGGTATGTGATGTTGTCCTTCATTTTGATTGTCTATGTTTTCTGACTTATGTAATGTGCATGTCCCTTGTATAATAACATTTTTAGCTAAAAAAACTGCTCATGTAGAATGTTAATCAAAACACAAGCAAGCAAATGGAATTTCTATCAGGAAAAAATAATTGGCAAACCAGCATCATTAGATTTAATATGAAAACATCACATTTCAAACGATAATGGGATTTTATCAGTACCTCCTCTGATGTCACCTTTCCAATCCTATAGTCAGGACAATATAAAGAATTAGCCAAGGCATTCCGGTAAGCTGCTGCATGTAAATTCTCAATGACATCTGTAAAGTAAGGAAAGAAGTAGTTACTGAAAAGTAATGTTAAGTAAAGATAACCATATTTTAAAGCTCAGTAATATATATTTAATTGTCCTCCCCAATATTATGTTCCATCTGTGAACAGGGATTTCTTTGCTAATGAGGCCACTCAGCGTAGGGTCTATCTTAAAACATTTGCTTTTGAGATTTGAAAGGAGTGTATTAGGCAAAGAAGGATCAAGCAAGTAAAAATGGAGAGGAAAATAGGCACCACAAGAAGATCATTAAAGAACCCAGGAAAAGAGGCTTTAATGACACACAGACATTCCCTTCACAGCCCAAATGGGGAGACAGTTGACCTTAGCTTGCCCTGTGAATTCAGATTTCTTGGCCCCTAAATGGTGAAAGCTCTAGTGGCTTAGTGGTAACAAATTGTGCTGCCAAACCAAAGGCATGATTTGAATCCACCAGCTGCTCTGTAGAAATAAGATGAGCAACTTCCTACATGATTTACTGCCTCTGAAAAGCAGCTGCAGGGTCAGTTATGCGTCGGTTCAGACTTGATGTTACACAACAACAAACTGAGAAAATATCTGTTCATTAAAGCCATCCACTTGAGGTATTTCTAGTACAGAAGCACTAAGAAACTGTAAAAAAAAGCAAGGGTAGTGTGGGGAAGGCCATATCTGACCTTTACCAATTTCACAAGGGGGCACTGTCCCTGTCAACCGCATTAACAACACAAAACCAATTCTCATGAGGTCAGACATGTCCCCCACACTCCCATACCTCTTTCTTCTCATCGCAACATCAATCTTACTGCTTTGCTGGATTCAAAATCCAATGCAATAGCTCATAGACCATACATAAACATCAGGAAAAGCCAAAAGTTATAATCCAGTTTAGAAGCAGAATACAGTCATTTGTTCAGGACAGCTTCTGAAATGTGCTGCAGGCACCTCAGCCTTGAGACATGTGATTTTAGGCCAGTGTTACAAAGTTCTCAGTCCTGAGACTAACGGCTTCCTACCTCAAGTTTTCCAACAAACTTGAGCAAAAGCTCTTAGCTCTGGTTCCAATGGTAGGAACTGCAAGGTCCCATCTCATGTCAGGTCTCTGGTTCTCTGCCTTATGCCAGGGTCCCTGTTTTCCTGCTGTGGCTACTATGGCGCTGCTGTTCATAGATCCAGCTGGTGGAGGAATTTGTGGGCCTGAAGGATATGCTCCATTCTCTTGCTGCTTCTTTGCTGGCAGGGAAGTGCTGGATCCACTCACTTTAATGGTGAGGCCAACCAACCCCCTTGTGGCTCACACCCTATTTACACATTCCTGCCCATCTACATGGCAAAGTAAATTCAATGGCTAGGGAAGTCATTCTGAATTACAAGCTTCATAGAAATTAAGATAACCAGAAAGAAAAAAAAATAACCAGAAAGGAACTAGACTATAAAAGCTAGGGCATCTTAAAACCTTCAAATATTAAGTCACAACCAAACCAAGCAGTAAACAAAACAAACCCCAAAACTCTTACATTTGCCAGATGAAATGAAATAATGAACATTAGAGAAGAAAGAAATGAAACAGAGAAACAAATAGAATCAATAAGACTAGAAATTGGTTCTTTGAAAGGGTTAATCAACAAGTTACTGGCAAATTCTAACAAGAAAAAATGCAAACAACGCAAGTAAGAAATAGATGAGTGACATCCCAGTAGAACCAACCAACTGAGGGGGGAAAGAAGAAAGTAACAGAAGAGTCTGAAGAACTGGTCCCCAAATTGGACAACCTAAGAAAAAAGTCCTATAAACACATCATCTCCCTAAACTAACTCTGACTGAGGTAGAAAATTAGAAGAACAAATGAAGAGATTAAACAGATCAAAAACTTCTCCAAAATGAAATTTTCTGCACATCAAAGGACTTCTCCAAGAGTAGGATGAGAACTCAGAGAGACCAGGAGAAAATACTTAGCAATAACTTATCAGACCAGGGACTTATCTCTAAAAATTTCTAGAGAACGACAATATCATTAGGAAAACGATGGACAACCTAAATACAAAACAGGACATTCTGATGAATGTCAAAGGAGACATTCAGGTGGGCAACAAACACATGAAGAAATACTCAAGATCATTAACTATTATTGCTGTTAGGTGCTGTTGATCACGACTGTAGTGCTCCTATGAACAAGAGATTGGAACCCTGTGCTATTCTATGCCATCCTCAACATCTCTGACATACTTAAGCCCACTGCTAGTTACTGTGTCAATCCACCGCATCGAGGGTCTTCCTGTCTTTCACCGCTCTGCCACCTTTCCAACCATGATAGCCCTTTCCAAGAAATGTTATTGTTGAGCACTGTGCCGTTGGAACCGACTCACAGCTGACCCTCCAGTACATTTTCAGAGGCAGTATATCGCATGAGAGGAGATTCCCCATCTACTCCCACAGAGCAGATGGTTTTGAACAGTGTGCCTTCGGTTTGGCAGCACAGATCCTCACCACTAAACCATTAGAGCTCTCACTAACATGTCCAAAGTACATGAGACAAAGCTTCGCCATCCTTGCTTCTAAGTCACACTCTGGTTATGCTTTCTCCAAGACATATGTTGGTTCTTTGGCAGTCCACGGGATATTCAGCGCTATTCTCCAATACCACAACTCAAAGGCATCCTTAACTCACTGTCCAGCTCTCAGTGACTGACAAGACCATGGCACGAATCAGGTGCACGTTAGTCTTTAAACTGACATCACTGCTCCTTAGTGAATGGAGAAGTCCCTGAGAGCAGACTTTCCCCAGGCAATACGTCTCCTCACTGTTAATACCAAGGGTGTTGAATCCAAGTAAGATGAAATCACTGGCAATTTCAACCTTTTCTCCATCTATTATGATGTTGCTTATTGGTCCAGTGGTGAGAATTTCCTTCTTGATGTTGAGATGTAATTAATACTGAAACTGTTTTACAGAGAGAACAAGGATGTTATAAAGTCAAGAAAGGTGTATGTCAGGATTGTATCTTTTCTCCATATCTCTGTAGATAAGAAAATCTTGCAAAGCTGGACTTTATGAAAAAGAATGTGACACCAGGATCAGAGGAAGACCTAACTTATGCAGGTGACACCTTACTTGCTGCAGAAGTTCAAAGACTACAAGTTAGTCACAAAAGGACAAATATGAAGTGAGACCAAGTTTTAAAAGCAAAGGAAAGGTTTACACACAGAATCATTCGCAAATGGTTACCTGGGAAGGGAAGGGAGGGAGCAGGGAGTAAAAATTAATACATAGATATGTTTATTAAGATGGTGACAGGGAAGAAGTAGATTGCTCTGTTGGTATTGAAACTAATGTTACAGAACAAAATCTATATGAGTATGTTAATAAAAAAAGAATGATTTGTAAACCTTCATTCAAATCAGTTTTTTAAAAAAGGATGCATAAAAATATCAGTCTTGGGGAGCTCTGGTGGCCTAGTGGTAAGGAGCTGCAACTACAATCCCAGAGGCTCACAGTTCGAATCCACCAGATGCTCTGCCGAGGAAGGAGGGACAATCTCCTCCTGT